CAATCTCTTTCTAGACAGATAAGTAATTGTTCTTTAAAATACAGTCAAGTTATTGTAATTAATTTGTTTTTTTACATGTTTTAGCAAATGTAAGCTTATAAATCAAAAATGTTTATTAAGAAACAGTTAGATACTTCCATGAAAGACGACATACCTATAGGTCAGTTGATTTTTCGAATTTCTTATCATATCTTAAGTTATTTATTAATCTGCTTGATCTTTACTATGGCTATGTTAATTCAAGCTCACAATGTTCCAATTGTAATACGTTTTTCTAAGATTTAAAGTAAAATTTATTTAATAGTAATAGACTAATAGGTAATTGCAAGACTTGCAAGACTCTTGCTGCAAGACCAAGACCAAGACCAAGACTGGGATCGCAAGACCAAGACCAAGACCAAGACCAGGTGTATTGGCGCAAGACCAAGACCAAGACCAAGACCAGGTGTATTGGCGCAAGACCAAGACCAAGACTGGCTAAGTCTCGTCTTGTTCTTGCATTTGGGCAACACTAGTCAGTCGGTCTTTACCAACTGTTTTCAGAACAAATCGTTACTAAGGACAGATTTAAGTACTCATCCAATGTCTCCGAGTAAAATAAAATTGTAGATTTTCTTTTATTTTGATGGTTGGGGGGGGGGGGACCATCCAACGATGCCTTTTTTCTTGGGTCCGGCGTGTGGGAATGTCAGACTCTTACTGACTAAAAACCAACCTGTTCCTTTTCCTGCTCCAAGCTATGACCGGGGTTCTTTATTGCGCTTAACTCGTAACCCCGGCTATAGGCCCTTTTTTTGTCAGGGAAAATTCATCCAATGACTTCTCCCGCCCAGGGCCGGGCGGGAGGGAGTGTTAGACTCTTACTGACTAAAAACCCCCCCGTTCCTTCTCCTGCTCTGGGCCGAGGTCGCGGTGCCTCATTGCGCTTACCCCGGAACCCCGGCTGAACATCAGCCCTATTGGGCCTCGTCTGTGGTGGTCTATTGGCTGTTTGAGGCGCGCGCACCCCGGCTATAGGCCCTGAGAACATCTAAATCTTAATTTCAAAATTCTATTTTTCAACATTTATTTCTCAGCAAGAGATCACTAATTGTGAACAATTGTTACAGCTCAGTACATTCGCTATGTCTAGACGAGTTAATGTTTTCCTTCATATAAATAACACAGACTTATCAAGGTTCAAGGTCTGTATAATTCTTAGTAGAATCAAATTTTTGAGGTCTGAAACCGAATATCAATGATTTTATTATGAAGCTACTCGACAGTCGAGTGGTCTGAAGTGAGGCTATCCAATGCCAAACAATGGGTGCCAGGTTAATTCAATTCGTGCTTTGAGCATGGCGATTTTTTTCGAAAATAAGAAATACTTAGTAATGATTTTTGTGATAAATCAGAAATAAATGATACTTATGACATTCATAACTATGTAACATGTGCTCGACCATCTTTGCTTAGCCCTCCCTTAATTTAAAGGTGTGATTTTTAAGGTTGCCTAAATTTGATCTGATACGCAGAGATTTTCAAACAAAGGATTTTGTTCAGAATTTGAATTTTATCGGTGACGCACGGAGCTTGCCTGCCACAGACTATAACTGTTCCAGATAATGCCCCTATTCGGTTCGACAAGCACTGAGCTAAACCACCCGAACCTCTTTGACAGTCAGTGTTGAGCTGAAAAAGAGAAAATACGACTCGATTGACAACACTAAACTTAATCGATTTGCAAGGCTACCTATTATTTATTGTCTTTATTTTAAACCTCACTCATTCTGGACTATAGTGTCTAAAACAAACAAATTCCATTCTGTTGTCTAACAATAAAAACATACTAAAAATCGGGAAACCCAAATATGTATATGTATAATCAATGTTTGTTATTAGAAGAAGCTACTTTTCTTCTTTTTGTCCATATCCCCAATAATTGCTTAGTATACAATTCCTTCTTTTCCATTCTCCCCACCAAACACCCTATTACAATTTTCTTTCTCCATCATCTTTTTTAAGTGTAAAACTTTACCCCATGCCGACTACTACTACGAACACTAGATGTTTCTCCTGTGTCGTGTATGCGTTTACCAACAAACAATTTCTCATACAAATCACACCCAGACCCGGAAAAACGATTTGTGAATCGCACAAAGAGTAGCCCATGGAAACCCGCAACAGCAGAGGAGTTACAGGCGCGTTGCCAGCCATCATTTTATACCTACTTCCATAATTAAATAAGATATATCTATGCTTTATGTTTAAAAAAAAAACTCGTCATCGTCCACAGGTGGATTATGTGAAAACTAACTTTTTAAACGAGGTAGCTACGAGCTGGTTATTGATTAATCCTGTTGATTGTATTTTACTGCTAACAAGAGTGGTACTTAGGTATGCAATTCCATTAAAAAACTAGTTCATGTTAAGTGTCTGTGAGTCTAGCTAGTTATTTATACCTTAATTCTAGCCACAAGAGCTGTAAAATGACAGCAAATAAAAGTTACTTTATATTTATTTTTAATTACTTGAAAAATTAGATTGTGCTCCTAATAGTTGTAAGTTAATACTACTGACCGTAGGTACTATTTCCAGCATAACTACGTGCTAAGGATGATACCGCAATAATTGTTAGACCTATTCTTAGATGTTTTGGGCTTCAACCATTAGAAATTGGATATTTTTCTTAACATTTATTCATTCATTAAGCTGACGATATCATCAGCAGCCATCAGAGAAGGTTAGAGCATTAATCACCACGCTTGCTCAATGGGTTGGCGATTTCAAACTTATAATTAGAAATTATAAGTCCAGGTTTCCTCACGATGTTTACCTTCACCGTAAGTCAGTGGTGTCTAAATAATAATAGAAAGTAAATGTAACTTTGAAAAAGTCACATTGGTACTTGCCAGGTTTCGAACCCACACCCTCATGCATGAGAAGCGGGCTCCTCAACCTCCGGGCCACCACGACAAATCGTTTTTTTTTTACTTCATTTCTATTCTTTACGTTTATTGCATTTTTTCATAAGGGTGCTATTTTATGTGACAATTTGATGACGTCATAGCCTAATTTTTGCCTTTTATTTTTTTCTTACCTACTGAATTTTTACCTATGTTACCTACTGTATTTTCTACCTATTGTAATTTGAAATTGATTTCGTTAATCTTGCATTTAAATATCATATTCGAATCGCCTCTCACAAAATGCCTAAATTTCGGCAGGATATCTGTCCGATTTAGCCACAGTTAGTTGGAGTGTAGCAGAAACAAGGCCCGTATGCATGTATACTGCTTGTATGCCAGTGATCAGTGCACTGAATACTGAACAGAGAGAACAAAGGATGCCATTTGCTCGCACTAATTAGGCGTACCGTGTCGATGATGTTGCTTGTTCGAATTCGTGTAAATTCGTGGTTGCGTAGTATGGAATCCTATTAATGTATGGTGGATGTTACTAACATATCTATCTAAGTGCTTAGGTAAATTTTATTTCAATAGATCATTGACTTTTGCATTATTGAGATTTTTGTTTTCAAACCCGAGGTAATAATAAGCAAGCGCTCTATTACCAAAGGGACAGTCTCATATTTTTGATGAGAAATAGTAAGTATTATATTATATGTATACTTATGAAAAACCCAATCGTGATGTATATATATATATATTCTATATTTGTAAATAACTATGTTTAATGTATAAAAAATAAATAAATGTATGTTTAAAAATAAAATTAATAATGATTTTAGAATATAAATGAAGATGAAGTCATACATTGTCATGTATAACAAAAATTGTGACAATCCCATTATAAAAAGTTAAAGTATACACATACTGATATAATCAATATCAGTATATAAACATACTGATAATCAATATTAGTATAATATTTCTTTTTTACTTGCAATAAACTAGTGCTTGACTGCGATCCCACCTGATGGTAAGCAGTGATGCAATCGTTGATGGTAAGGCGCACTAGTTTATTAAGAGCCTATTCACTCTAGCCTTGAAGACACCTAATCCCTTAAATATAATCAATATCAGTATGTTTATACTTTAAGTTTAGTTCACTCACCAAGTAATGAGTAGTTTCTAACGAACATAGAGGTTAGTTATCATATACCTACTTGTTTATATAAACGCCCTTTGAATTAACTCACTACTGGAAAATATAACGTATGCATTACTTGTTCGTCGACAGGGGAACTTAAACCTTCAGTGTAACGTGCTATGCAAATTGTAGCAACTGTTTCGTTTGTTTTTACACACAAACAAGCAGCTATGAAGCTCGGATATTGTATGGAAAATACTGCATAAAATGTTGCCTCCCCAAGTCTTGATAAAATACACCATCTTTCCATCCTTTGTTCGCAACTAGGTCACTGGATTATGTTTAATTCCCTGATAATCAATCAAAGTGTGACATCACTGCATAGTAATGACGCAATAACGTTTATACGAACTAGTATTACCAATTGTGAATCAAATTCAGGTAATTATGTGGAATAATTGATGAATGCGTTCGTGCATCTAAAACGATTACTGGCTAATTGCTCGACGTGCCGCACCGATCGAAACGTAATGGCGTACGTGCTGCGTAATGTTTTTTTATAACGCATACATATGTACATATTGAAGTAGAAAAGAAAGAAAAATCAAAAGCAGTTTTTTTTTGTTGCTGAAATAAACGCCCACTCGAATTCATTGTGTAAGAACATTAATTCAAATGTAGGACGTCCCAATGCAGATGTTTACTTGACAGGCGAATATTTTAATAAGGTACAGCTGCTCCTGACTGCGGTACTCCGTTCGAGAGGAAAGTAAGTCATTTGTTGAATCGTTGCGGGACAATCATATTCGGAACTGAGTTGCAGAGAACCTCTCGCAAACTACTCGCTTGTTATTTTAGATTTCCTTGTCTGTTGGAGCGGAAAGTCAGATAAGATTCGATTCAAAGGATGTAGGAGATAGTGAAATAGGGGAGCAGTAAATAAAACACGCACATCTTAGACTATATACCTATACTTAAATAACAAAAGTGTGAGTGTGGCGAGGACGCGTTGCGCGATGAGATCACTGTTGCTGCTGGGGCGGCGCGAGGCGCGCGGCCAGGTGGAGGATGTCGCGCTTCTCCTTGGGGAAGCGCAGCTCGCGCGCGGCAAGGCGGGCGGCGCGCAGCTCGCGCTCGGCGCGCGCCAGCTCGGCGCGCAGCACGCCGCCGCCCGCGGCCGCCGCGTCCCGCTCGCGCGCCGCCCACTCGCGCGCCATCTGCTCGCGCATGGCGTCGTCGAGCGCGCGCGCCGAGTAGTGCGCCACCACCTCCTGGCGCGAGCACTGCCGCTCGCGCATCGCGCGCAGCGATCCGTTCCAGTGCAACAACTGGAACACTGTCATCAACTCCTGGAACTCCAGCATCGTCCGGCCCTTGTTTGCTTCCAGCATGAACCTAGTACACAAAGTTATGAAGGTGGTCACACTTAATACCCACAATCTAGTTCATGCACATCTATTCTAGCATCCTAACAATGGAAACAAACCACGCTTTCTTTGTCTTCGAAGTTGGACAGATCTCGGACAGACGGATAAAAGAATAATTCTTCGTTCAGTCTGACTTTAATCATTTAGTCTCGTTGTATAACAATAGATCATAAAACAATGTAATTTGGCATAGACCTGGTACTAATTAGTGTTGGTTTTATATCCCATTGTTGGTCGGCCATTTCTATGAAAAAAAGCGATCAATCTTTATTTTAACGACTTTCGAAGCACTTCTCTCTCCATACAAAATGTTTACCTTGACGTCATCCTCTCACATACTTGCATCTAGACTAGACATTGTAACTTCATTACCTGAATGCTGCGATCCCAGCGCTAGGGTCCTGATGGTGCGCGGCCGCGTCTCCAGCGAAGGAGGCGCGTGCCTCGGCCACCGCCTTCTCAATGAAGTGCTCGGAGATACGACGTGACTCATGCTCATTGAACACGCTGTTCATAAGCGCAATCTTTGCAGCACTACGACGAGCTTCAGCTTTTGTCGGACAATTCTAGACAAAAAAAACGGAGAGTAAGGTTCCGATAATGTTGGTTGGATCAGAAACGACTCTGGATATCTCTGACTTACCGACCTAGGGCTAAATGCTAACGTCAGTTATAGTCTAGTTTTTTTTGGTTCAAAGCAAAGCTTACGACAAAAAAAATCAACGTAAGCCTACCCAAATGTAATATAATTATAAATCTCATAATAACAATAAATATAACGTGCTGGCTGTATTTCACTAACATACACACTAAGTGTACCATATGTATTGTCTATCTGACACATTGGTACAGTTTGCTCCGAACTTCAGCCGTCTGTCACAGTGAGTAAACAGTTTACGAAGCGCGCGGTGTATCTTGTGTAATGTAACACTGTTACACGCGCCGTTATTGTACGTAATATTGCGTGCTGTTCAAATATACTTACGAAAGTAAGATTAATTAGATCACAAAAGAAATATTTGCTATAGGTAGGTACGTAATTGTCTTTATAAGGGAGTTTTTTGTACCTTATTTTACCTAATTGTAAAAAAACGGGACTGAGCAAGATTGTCTGTTTTGGAAAGATCAGTTCTTCTCTTCCCACATTTCAAAAAAATTATAAAATACACCTATAGATGCGAAAAAGACGTTATTATGTACTTCAGTAGCAAACTACATAGCAAAATATACTAATGTTCTTTTTAATTTCTATTACATTAATGTATAACGCCACATATTTACGTCTTTTTTACTATTTTGTCACTATCTTGTAGATGTACCTGAAAGCTCCCAAAGCATGCTCCTCCGGGCAGCGTGACGTAGCAGACGTAGGGCGGGTGCGCAGCCGGCACCGACTCATAGATGACCAGGGCGCCGCCCCCGCTGCCCGCGCCCCCGCCCCGCGCCGCCTTCACCTGCCAGAACTCTTGCAATGCTTCCACCACGTTCACTGTTGAGAGGACTCCGTCAGCTGTGTAAGAGAGGTCGACGTTAGAAATAAAAACAAGCAAGAGGAACAAGGATAGATAGCACGTTAAATAAAAGATAATTGAGACAAAGATCATGGCATAAACATTAAGTATACGGGAACCTCTATCTCTAACTCCCACTCCTAAAACTTTCCCGGCTTTGGAAATCAGGTAAATTTCCCATAAACCCCCGTCAACTAACTATTCGTATTTGTATTACATCCGGCATTTAACTGTTATTTTCAAGTCAACAGACAATTTGTAATCAAACGCCCGCATTGTACGGAAACCTGTACACTTAAATGTCGCTTAAGCGAAAATCGTTAACGCCTGAGCCCCCGATGTCAAAGCAGCAAGCACTTCCCATTTTAAATAAGACGTCCAATTTGTCTCGGCATTTTCTCCACAATCAGTGCTAGCAATTTATTTGTAAAAGCCTAGCTTTATTCATATTTCCGTTGGCTCCCCGCTTAATGGTTATGGCTGTAATAACGCCAGGGTGAGGTGGAAATACAGCTATAAGTGAACAGCCTACGCCTACAGAGCACAGCAAGCTAAAATGTTCATTAGACAGGTTTTCTTAATCAGTATGCTAGTTATTTGATATAGCTGGCATCCCTACTGCGCCTACCTGAATATTAACAACCAGACTTATTAATTAAAGAATGTGAAGGTGTAATGTTTTTAACCTCCTCTATCCAGTTGACGTGTAATCCTGCATACAAGTCCAGCTAGTGCTTGCTCGTAGCACAAATGCAAAGTAAATTACATTCGTTATCACTAATCTGCCTGTCCCGCAAGGCGATTATGGCCTTATCCTCCCATGATTGTCCATTAGTGGTCTGCGGGGGATAGTGCATAAAGCGGAGGTCGGTGTTGTGAACAAACTATTGTAGTTGAGATAAGCTCTCCATTCAATAAAATTATAATTGTGAATCGAATATCTACGTGAATGAAGTCGAATGCAACAAGTCTTAAGCACGATTTATTAGATGTCAAAATTAAATATTAGTTTCAAAACTATGTGTAACTTAAAAATAAATCGAAAATCTGTATACTATTATTGTTACAAAAGCTCGTCTGCATGTAATATTTCATAACAAAGGGGTCAACTTTGTTACATAAATGAATGAGTTCGGCTTTCGTCTCGCTTTGTGACGAACGAAATATGCAAATCGCAGACGAGTTTAATTTATGAATCGCTCGTATAAAATTCATCACTTGCAAACGTCAAATCCGCGAGTGCTCGTCGCGAGTGTTTACTTCCGAAAGGGGAATATACATAAAACTTTTAAAATTTCATTTGCTTTTGTTGGGGTTCAAACTAGTTGTAGTAGAGGAAAACACATCTGTATACGAAGACAGGTGTTTGTCTCAGTACGACATCACAAAATTGCTTTGAAAGATAATCTGGTTGGTGCAGCAAAACTTATTGCATCTCCCGACCGCAGTCTACTTAGAAAAATACGAACTAAAATGTTCTTCATTCCTAATGCAATTATTTTTACAGAGCACTCTCTTATTTCAAGTAATGACAGTACAAACAGGAGTAGGAATTAAAGCACTCGGCGGTTCGTGTCCGCGGCTTTTCCGGGTAGACATTATTATCTGACAATAGGACGAATGTTTCTGAAAAGCGACGGTTGCAAGTGCTCTCTGTCTACTTCGAACTCCCACTGTTGTGCCCATCCGTTGCGATTTTACAGGATTTTCCCCTTTGAACGGCTGCAAAATTTCCGGGACGAGGCAATTTTAAAGACATCTTAAGACGCAGACTTTTTGAGATCTATTATTAAAGGGTCGAGTGAAAAATGATTCGAATATTGCGAAACGGTACGTGACTTCCTGCTTCGTTCTCCTAAGTACTTAATATTAACGAAAAAGTATGGATTTCAATTATAGAAACAATTTTGGACTTTGAATAATTCCGTATAATTTTGTTTAGATCAGCAAAATTTTGCTGTAGATCACATATATTGCAACTTAATTATGTAACTGTTTTATTATAAATTACTAAGAGACGCCTATAAGAAAACTTGCCTTTGTGGAATTACTCCAAATTTTAATTTACAGTCCAAAATTTCTTCGTCAAAAAATATTTTTTATAAAATTGTAATCATAACATAGCTCTCTACATAATTTCCACGCAATCTACATAGGAATGCGAAAGAAAAACAACTTCAAAGAAGTTTTTCTAAGATAAATATATTCAAAGGTCAGAGAGTTTGAACAAAAAACTTGTGAAACCGACGTTAACCGAGTTTGAAGGGAAATGCTGCGAGAACTCACTCCTGAATACTTCCCTCACACAAAAGAAACTTTCTTTCCTTTCCTTTACCTTTTTCTAGAATTTTCAGTTAGATACTTAGATGTACTTTTTACACTGTTACAGTTACCGGAGTTGTGTTTTGGAAATCTTTACAAAACGTTGTCAGAATAATAAAAATGAAAAAATGATAAAGATTTTCCGTTTTAGCAGCCCAGAAGTGGAGTACTAAAGTGACTTTCAGAATTGTATGTACTTTAATAGCAGACAATTAAGCCACCACTGATAAATGGTGAAGAGAAAACTGGACTTTTTTCTAATCATACATAAGTTTGAAATCACCAATGCGCTTTGAGCAAGCACGTTTTTGGGGTAGGATGATTGGATTAGTAGGATAGTAAATGCCTTTTTCCTTCCCTAAAAACCCTCGTTCCTTTTCCTAGCAGAGGCAACTGTACTATTTTGCGCTTGCCCCGCAACCGCGTCTGAATATCGGCCCTTTTATGATGCCGAATTGTCCACAGTTCAACTAATCCAGTTACATTACGAGTCAAATAGACATTCAACACAAATATATTTAATCACTATAAAACTAAACGCTAAGGTACTCAGTACCGTGGTTTCTGCGTTTGATGTGCCAGAGCGAAAACAAAACGCTACATTCAAATGCACGGTAGCCTCCCAACAATGGCAGTAGGTATTTATTTAGCTTTATATCGCATGAGCTTCAGTTAGAACGTTTATAGGACCGATATCGATGCTATTCCAAGCTAAATTGTTCATTTAATAGAGATCGTTGGAGCAGTATTGTAGTCATTTTCATTTATTTTATTTGATATCGAGATAGTGTAAAGTTAATGCTATTTTTTGTTTAAAGTTTACCGACGATAATATAAAAGTGGTTGGTCTCTCGTATAGACTTTAAATTTCGTTATGGAAGCAGTTATTTTAATTATGGAAAAGCTTAAATATGTGTTTTAAAAATGATAATAGAATGCCTATAACACTTTTAACTCTGGTGTCATGTGGATGAAAAGTCCTTAACTAGTTTAAACCAATGATAATAAGAATATTTATAAAGATTTGTAGACTAGAAAGTTCTCTCACTTCTTAAAGTTTTAAATATCTACAAAAAACAGCGTTTTTCTAAGAATAAGTTTCCATTGAAACAAATTGAATGAATAGTAGGTATAAGTAAACAAAATATTCCTTAACAACTGCTAGAAATATTCGCAATCACGGCATAACGTGCTCTCGAAGAAATGAAAGGAATTTAATTAACAAACAATTAGATCTCTTTCAAATCGTTATAAATTGGAAAAGAAATATACAGTTCAATGACATGGTAGGAAAATAAGGAGCAGACACACACACACACACACACACACACACACACACGCACACGCACACGCACACTCATTTGTGATTGTAACATTTTTCTTTTGAAAGTCTTTTAACAAAGTCAATGTCAAAATCATTTATTCCAACTAAACCACAAGTACTTTGGTACTTTTGAAGCATCAACTTAACCTCTGTTTTAGTACAAAATCCAGTAAAGAAATCTAGGTTTAGAGGTGAGCAACAGCAATAAAAAAACTTGGAACTAAATCGGATAACTGGTCCGATCGTCAATGTCGCATCTAATAGGTTTCAAATAGTGGTCACTCTTTTCATGTAGGTAATTCAACCGAATCTGTGTAAAATGCGGTAAAGCTCACTAATTTAGAAAAGGCTTTACTGCCTTAATAGACATTAAACTAACCACCGTCTATAGCAGTTATTAGTGACTGGTCCCTCATTTCATTTACTGATAGTTTCATGTGCACTAGTATTGATTTTGAAGCCGCCATTAATTGCCAGCGAAACTACCGTTTGACTGATCAATCAGCCGAGTGCCTCCATAAAGCAGTGCACGGCGGCCATAATTGCTGTACGTTTCATATCATGCAGCACACGAACTAACTGTCTCTTGATACTGTTCACACGAGATAATGATGGTGACGACAATTTATTTCAAACTTTACACCCACGTAGAAAGTTCGTGTGAAATTAATGAACGCTTCAACACAATACGTTGAAAGCATCGTGCATGGGATTTTGACACGTTTTTTTTTCTTTTTCAACATTATAAAGCAACCTTTTTAGCAAGTCACCTCACTAACGTGCAGATTTAATCTGTGCACCGATGATTCTGCGAGTTTCTCAGACGTTAGACGTTTCGCGCCATAGATTATATTTACGGTTAGGTCAACTCGTTAATTTATTAGCGTGACAGTTTGTAAACAAACTTTTCACTTTAACTTTGTTTGTTTGCTGAGATCACCAGATTTGTTTAGGAACTGAGATCCGGAATATTCCAAAGCTTACACAAGTCACTAGCGTAAAGTACAAGGCATAATAGATATTATCCAAATATGCTATGATATAAAATTAAGTGTATGTAAATGAAAAGGAAGAATGAAAGCATCCAATTTTTAACGTATTTAACCAATAAATATTGGTATTCAGTTACTGATCCCTATCGGATTACTATCTACTGCATCCAATATAAACCGTTCTACAGAATCGAGTTCTGTTAATCCAAATTGAAACCAAATAAGCTGTAACTGAATTATTAATTCAGTCACGTAAATACTTAATTATAAGATAATTGTTTAAAACTACATTTTAAATAAATAAAATCCTAATATTAAAGAAATACGTAGAAATAAAGGCATTTGAAACGTTTTCGCAGTGGCCTGTCACATCTAGTTTGTGCTTCTATTCATTTGAATACTTGATAACGTACCTAGCTACTAGCTAGCGAATTTATGTTGTCAAGGCAACTCAGTCCTCGGGGAATACATGCGTCGACAGGTTCGGAAGTTGTCGATTGACAAGGGACTGAGACATAGTGACTAAGTCATATGTAAATGTAGGCAAACAAACATGTTATTGAAACACTGTTCATAACGTTGTACAAACAAATATAACCATATTTTGACATATCATGGCAACCGCCATGATATGTCAAAATATGGCGCCAAATTGAAAATTTGAGGTTATTTCAAGAGCTAATAATCAATTTAATTTTCCGTCTATATCCTAATCTAGTTTGGAAATTTGGTTTTTTCTTTTTTGATTTTATTACGGATTTGAGTTTTACCTGTAAATGTTGGTTGAAAATTATTAACAACTAGATTATTTCTAAAGAAGATTTTGGTCGATAAGTAACGCAAATTAATTAAGATTCTACATTGATACTTAACGTACTAATTACTATAGTTAGACAAAGAAATTATTACTATATTATTACCCGCAGATTGTCAGGTCGTATAGCTATTAAAATTAATAATCGTCCCTTAATGGTCGCTTCCTTAACGCAGATAATGACCCTTTGACCTTTTGGCTGAATCTTACCGAAACCCTATACTTTATGGGATATTTTTTAATGATGTCGTTTATGTCCCGGTCTTCTATTTGTACGACAAAGACTGGGATCAAAGCTGTGGCGCATAAAGCAAGGCGAACACAGTTATCAAAAGACTGAAGGTCTGAAGTACCTAAGCAGAATATTTTCTAATACGTAGCTACTATAGTTTTCTACGGTAGACTCAAGTTTGTCAATTAACATTATCATTTTACACGATAATTTAATTTAGCGTTTAAGAAATGGTATAGTTATTATGTTAGATACCAGTGAAAGTCCCTCTTTACTACATGGTTTATGCTGAAATTCAATTTATACTTAGGTACTGAAACCGACAATATAGAGGAACTATGTAATAGCTAACCATACTTCTCCTCACATCACAATGTCATATGTCAAAAAGGGATCCGCAATAAGGAAGGTAGCAATGGAAACTAAGGCACCGTGACCCTAAAGGTCGGAAAAGGTCAGCTCAAGGACATCTCAATCTAATCGAAGAAAATTGACCAGAATCCAGATGAAAAGTGTTCCATCTTCAAAGTTTGAAAGTGTTGTTCTTGAAAATGGCCGTTTATCTTAATAAAAAAGTTTTACTTAAAAATGAATAGAGTTTATTTTCATAAAATTAATTTATAAAATCGGGTGTTACAAAATCATATTATATTCTTTGTCCATTATTACGTTCGAAAAACAAAAGATGTAATTATTATTTTGTGATATGCTTAATTATTTATAAAAGTACGCTTAGTATTGAATTTATATGCTGGCCATGAAATGCACTTAGATATATATACTCTATGAAATAGATATCCTTTTCCATCTAAGTCATTGAATTATTTTTTATTACCGAAACACATCCATCATTCTATTCCCTGAAGGCAAAATGTTCCTAACTATACCTACTATTAACAAAATATATTTTTTTAAAAGCCCTTGAGACCACAAAACAAATGAAGCAATGCATTATGAAAAAATAAAATAAATTGCTTATATACATAACTTATTACTTATTCCAAATACATCAAAAAACCTCGATAATAATTAACAATCTGTGACCATAAATCGTCATTTTCATTATTTGTTGATT